TGCGCGTGCGCAAGGCCAGGCGCGCGTGGTGGATTCTGACTGGGCCGCGGCCGCCGCCCTTTGACCCTCCCCGGAAGGGGAAAGGGGCTCTTCCGCCGCGGGCGGAGGGAAAAGTCCGCGGGGCACGTGACGTTGCGGGACACGTTACGGCGCGCGAGGCCGCTGGGCGGAGGTCGGGGTGAGGCCCCGGCCCCGTTATCGGTCCCCCCGGGCACCAGCCAGCTCTCAGGGCCGGGCCCGGTCCCGCACCACAGGAGCGTGCGGTGGGCGCGGCGTAGCAGTCGCTCGGCGTCATGGCAGCGGTGCTGCCCCGTTATCCGCAGCCCCGAGCTCCCCTCCCCGGGCCAGGCCCCTGTATGGCATAGGGCACCAGGCACCGCTGCGGCGCGGGGAGGCCCTGTTCGGTTTCGCTGCAGCCTCGCCGGCCCCGGAGATGGACAGCAGGGAATGGTGGGAGGTCGGCGCAGCGTTCGGGTCCCGCTGGAGGCTGGTGGGGGTTCTCGGACTGGGCACACGCTGTCCCTTACAGAGAAGACAGCCGTGCGATGGCGTGCTCGAGGCAGGGCACGGGGGGCATCTTGTTGTCATACCCCCCCCCCCAGACCGAGCAGGAGTCTGTCACGAGAAGGCTCTTGTTCAGACAGGTAGTTCCGTGTGGTGCCTGCTAAGGGACCCACGAGAGATGAGTCCTGTGACCGTGGCAGGAGAAAACCCCGTCACATGACTCTCCCTGCTTTGCTCTGGCATCTCCTGATGCAGCACAAGAATCAGTCATTGGGTCCCCGTTGCTCCTGGAGCTCGGCTGGGGAAGGAGAGCCCCTGCGTTGCCGGGCAGAAAGCAGCCGGCCTTTGGCTGCAGTGTTCGCCCTGCTAGTGCTGGGGTACCGGCAGGGTTACTATGTGCACCTGCTGTACACGCAGGCTGCCCGGCTGATAAGTGCTGGAGCGGGGACAGGCTCGGTCCAGGCTCCCCAGCCGCACCCTGCTGATTTGCCAGCTCAGTGGCTGCCTGCAAAGCAGAGCTGCCGCTCTTTGCTCTCCTCCTGCTTCCCCCTGCAGGGGCTGGGCTCAGTGCCCAGGCCAGCGGTGTGTTGAGCGAGGTGCCCCACTGGTTCTCCACAGGTAACCTGTTCTGTGAGTGCTGTGAGGAGTAGTTGTCCATTCAGGAGCTTTTGCTGGGTGCAGAAGCGGACGCGTTTCTTGGGCCCAGAAAGAGCCCAGCGAGATTTTTGGTGGCACAGCTGCACTGAGTGAAACAGTGAGCGCGCCACACATCGGCAGGGGCAGCAGGGCCCAGCGCGGTGCTGGGCCACCAGTATGTGTGCTCAGCACCTCTGGTGAGGCAGGCAATGCTCACCTACACCTTGCAGGTGCCGCAACACTCTTGTTCTCGTTTTTGTTGCTGGCTGGAGATCCTGCCACTGCTGAGTGTGGTGTCCTTGTGCCTGCTTTCCAGCACCCCATGAACAGAGTATGGTTCTCTTTTTTTTTTTTTTTCTTTAAATCCCTTTAAATATCCCTGCGTGGCAGTGCCTGCCAAAGAAAAGCTGCGCAGATAGGGCACCGCCTGTGCACTATGGCGGCAGCACGTCGCCTCTGGTGTCTTGCTCCCTGCTGAGGTGGTGTGTCTCTTCTACACCCACCAGCCGCCAGCACAGCCAGCCCAGGCCCACACCCAGGGCTCTCCAGCACTGCAAGACATTAATTCACAAGTTTTCCCTTCCTCAGCCTCAGTTCTCCCTGGCTGCTTTTTGGTAGATGCAGGTGAAAGCTGCCACGCTCGCGGAGCTGCAGTTCTGACGCTTCAAGGCAGCTGCTGTGTCAGACTGAGCTACTGCAGCACAAACAGGCACCTGACTAGAAAAGCAGCCCAGACTGCTCTTGGGCAAGCTTTGGCCCAGGGTTCATGAGGTGCATCTCCCAGAAGGGGCTGAGGCTTTTCCTTGGAAGCCACAAGTAGTGAGAATCATCCAGCCCATGCCGCCACCAAGTCCTGCCCAGCCCGTGACCAGAGCCTCGCATCCCTTGGGCTGCTGGTGCCTGTGTGTGCTCCTGGGCTTGGCTGCCAGGCAGGAGAGCCCAGCCTGTTACCCTGCAGCAGGGACCGCGTTCAGGAGAAAACACGGGCAGTGAATCACCACTGCAGCCCTTAGGTCCCTGGAGTTACAGCAAGTCGCAGTCGTCCTGCATACCCCTCCCCGGGCATCCCACCATCGCGCAAACGATCTAACAGAAACGCCAACGTCCAGAGTTTGGCAAGACTTGCCAAAGAGCTGGCGATTGCATCAGACAGGATTCTCACCCCGACACTAACTGCCCACAGAGCGGCTGTTGGGGGCCAGCACAAGGAGGGCCTTTGTTCACTTTATCAGCACGTCTGGGCTCGCTCTAACCGACATGACAGAGGGTGACGCCTGCTCCGAGCTCCTGCTTTGGCGCTGCCCTTCCCGTCCCCGTGCTGCGGGGGCAGGCGGCTGGGTGCAGCTTACAGCAGGGAGCAGCACAAGCAAATCGTGCCTTCTGGAGCAGGCTCTGGCAGGCACCGGCCACACGCCTGCTCCTCGCTGGGGCAGGCAGGCGGCTCCTGCCTGGCTGAGGGTGCTTCACTTCAGCCCTTGCACTTTCTTGCAGTTTCAGAGTTGCATTGTTTCCTTTAGCTGTGGCATCTGGAAGCGCAGCAGCTTTCCTGGATCCAAGGAGAAAGGGGGCCTGTGCTGTTAGCTCAGTAGTTTCCCTCTTGCATTCCAAGTTCTCCATTACCATCGTGAGTCTTCTAGACCACGAGCAGGGCCGAACCATCTCCTCTACAGCTTCTCTAGTGCTGTAGATTCTGTGAAGAGCTTTTCCCAGTGACCCTTTTCTTATCCTTAACACAAACATGCCACATGCTCTGTAAACATCCGCAGGCTCTTATCACACATCGCCTCTCCTGGATTCTGTTCTGCCTCTGCCTCCCTCATTCTTCTGGCTGTGCAGGAATTTCACTTCATACTTGCAGCTGGAGTAGGCACAATGCAGGCAGGCCAGAGGCTTGGAACCCACCTGCTCCTCAGCTGTCAGGAGACACCCCTACCTCCAACTTCACTACCTCTGAGACCCCCTATTTTCACTTCCCCACACCCTTCTCATCCCTCATACTGCAGGGCACGCAGAACAGAGTGAACAGCGAGGGACAGATCTTGAAGACAAACCCCCAAGAGCAGCAAAGGACACAGTGCAACGAGGGCCTCTTGCCTTTTCTCCTCTGGCAAGGGCTGTTCCAGATCCCCTGTTTCACAACTCAGCAGGCCCAGGGATTCTGGTCTTCTCCTACCCCAGGTGTTTGCAGAAATCACCTGTGGAACAGAAGTTCTGCCACTTCCTGCCAAAGACCCAGAACCAGGAAGTTCCAGAACAGAAGCAGAATGGACAACAGACAGTCAGTTCAAAGATTTTATTTAACTGTCATAAAAGGAGAAGCAGACGATGATTCCAAACCTGTTAACCCGGGTCTAGGATTTACAGACAATATGCACCAAATCAAATTAACAAAAATCTCTCTAGGGGCAGGGCAAGGGAGAGTTAGAGGCAAAGACGTAGCTACGAGAAAGCCACATGTACTTGGTCCCAGTTCTAATACGACCTCAACGTGGTAGGATCCAAATAAGAGGGCTGTGGAGCTGGAACGTGCCTGCCCAGCCCTCAGGGGTTCATGGGCCCCCGAGGGCTCCTGCGCCCCGAACGCCGTGTCAGTGCAGCCGTGGGTGGCAGGCTGGCGTGCTGCAGGGGTCTGCTACGGGCACGGGGCAGGGGAGTCGAGTGTCAAGGCAATAAATACTGACAGGCCAGGCACAGATTTTAAAGGCAGAACAGATACATAAGGCATTAACCGCTTCTGAATGCTTGTCCATTGCAAGCTCTTTGTTGATCGCATCAGGAGAGCAGCTGCAGAAACAGACTAGTCCATCCTCAGCCCAAAACAGCCAGGAGGGCAGGTGCTGTCCTGGAATTTCAGTGCTTTGCAGCTACCTTGGCTGCAATGAGAAGTGTGAGGTGATGGCAACACTGGTGACTCCCGCACCCACCTGCCTTGCAACCCCCTCTATGCCTCAGAGGCTCTGAGGCTGCCAGAGAGTTCGGAGCTCTACGCAAACAGGGCCAGGGGTCCTGCCAGGCCAGCTCTCTGGACACCGGGAGGGGTGGCCAGGCGTCACCCAGGATATCACACCACCCTCCCCTCTGGAGATGTCCCGTCTCAGGTGAAGAACGGACCAGCAGCAAAGCGGGAAGTTGTGAATCTTTCCTAATAACCCATGAGGGGCGTGACCAAGATGAGTGCCATGCCAACAAACAGGGGGAGGGTGGGTGGCATTTAAAAAGTGTAACAAGGGCAGGGCCCCCTCCCTAGAGGATACATGTTACACATTAAGGCATCATGGTTACAGGGAACATCCACAAATGAAGCTGCCAGCGTTCCCAGTACACTGACGGGGTGGAAGGGGCGGGCTGGACATGATTTTAGCCAACAAACGGATTCGATAGCTGCCTGGCATCAAAGTTCTTCAGCTACTTGGAGGCAGTAGCTACCCTGAGCTGTGCACAGGAAAGCCAAGCAGAGGATCCTACACAGAACATAGGAGTCTCTCCCCTTCAGCACCTACCCGAATAAAGGCAGGTGAGAAGCAGCAAAGGGCCTGATGAGGGAGCAAGTGCTCCCACCTCTGCGCTGGGACAGCATGGCCCTGGGACGGGTAGCTGGAGACCAGATGCAGACAGCACGGTTTGGTCAATGCACTCAGCGATTCTCTGGGGAGGGGGCACATTACACAACTGAGCTCTCTGGTCAAATTATAACAGGGGGTGAAGGGTAAGAGGGTTCCAATGTCAGCACTTTGGTACAGGGGGGGATTTCTACGGTAGCCACTGTCTGATTCACGCTCTCTGGGGTTTGGCCTTGGGAAGGGCTAGTCCTTCCAATCCTTCTTGATGGTCAGGTTCCACTCCCAGGACAGGTGGTCAGTCTTATCATCATCTGTGAACTTGGATTTGATGTTGTAGCTGCCCCGGGCCAGCATGCCCTTAGGGGCTTCTTCCATGGGGGTCAGAAACTCATACTCCTCTGCTCGGGGGCCATAGCTCCCAACCATGTATTCGGTCTTGTCAACTAGAAGGAGAAAAAAGAGGTGCATGGAGGCTGTTTAAGAGCCTCCCGTGCATTTGGGACAAGGCTATAAAGCAAATGAAAGGTCTGTTCCTGCTACAACAATCCACAGAGGAGCTGTGAGAACGTCACCTGCATTAACAGCTCTGTTCACTCCAGGAACAGCTCCTCCTGCCGGGAGCGTTCCCCCCACACTAGCACTGCTGTCAGCAGTGACCTGTTCACCGCCACACTCCGGCAGGGATTACGCATCAAGCCCAGAGGTGCAGGTGCAGCCAGGACTGCAGGCTGCCACCCTGCAGCAGACCCAGGAGCCTTTGCACATCACCACAGGCTCAGCGGCACAGAGACGACTGAAGACCGTCTCTTGCCATTATGAGCTGTTGGGGCGCCAGCAGGCGAGCCCCCATCACCGCAGTGGAAAGAGCCAGAAAGCCCTCACACAAAGCAGCACCCCAGTCACAGAGAAGCACTTACTTTTCACGCCTTTCCGGAACGTGTGCTGAATGTACTTCAACCCTGACACAATCTCCCTGTTAACCTGCAGGGAGACAAGCAAGGACTGTAGAAGACATCTCTGAGACACACTGCCTAGCCCACCCACAGTAGCAGACAATTTCCTCTACCACACCACTTTTTGGGACTCAGGCACGCCCTATGCTGGGACTGCAGCAGTCTGGTGTTCCACTCGTTCTTCAGCTTTCGGATCTGAATTCTTACCCTAAAGGAGATTTTTATCCGGTATTCCACACCCTCCTTCAGCACAAATGCTTGCTTCTTGAAGCTCTCCAGGTCACCTACAAAGAAGGGATAGGGTTGCTCAGACTCCCTTTGTGTAGTGTTCTGGGGCGAATCTAAGTCGCAAGAGGTGATCAGGACAGTATCTGCAGTAGCAGGGGATGACCCTTACTGCCTGGACAGCACACAGTTCATCCTTTTGTTTTTGCATGACAGGACCCTCCTTGCTGCACTGCCCATGCTACCCGAGGTGGGCGAGCGATGCCCTGCCAAAGGACACTGCAGTGCAGCAATGCAGTTGATTCAAGAATGTTCCTTTGTAGATGTTTGCTCCGAGGCTGTCACCATCTCGAAGCTGCCATTAGCTTTACTGCACAGGCTGGAGGACAGCTGGCTCCCCCAGCCGGTAGCTCACACCTCTAAAAAACTAGGGCTGGCAAGGGAGTGGAAGCAGAAGGGCCTTCTGCTGCGACGGGGGACACAGCTGCCGGGCTCAGAGCACAGAACCCTCCGGGGGCCCAGGCACCTTACCCTGCATCCAGCACAGGGGCATTTCAGACATAGAAGGGCTTGGCCACCACACCAGCCATGCTCCTGTGGGGCCTTCTGCCAGGCTCCACACCAAGCCAACTTTGACCTGGGAGAAGGGCAAGAAGCTCACCTGTCAGGTCCAGCTCCAGAGGGCCAGGAGCAGTAGTGCAGACCAAAGTCAGCTTGGTCACCACCACATTTGGAGCATTGGGATCTAGAAAACAAGCAAAAAGGCTGTTAAACACCCATCCCTGACACCAACCAACACAACTCCTTTTCCTTCCAGGGCACTTCTTGAAAGAGCAAGAAAACCAGTGAGAACAACATCCCCCTCAGCGAAGGTATGGGCTCCCCGCTGTGTCAGGCCCAGCCCACAGTCTCCCCAAGAGCATCCCCCTCTAGAGGCAGAGCGTGCCACCCCTCAGTCCCTGTGCCTTATTCCAAGGGCCAGAGATCAGCCCAGGGGAGTGCAGAAACAGGCCTTTATGCTCCTGGCTGTGCTCCGGCCGAAGCGCAAAGAGCTGGGAGGAGAACAGCTCCCAGGCAGGAGCAGGGATGAGGCTGGAAGTGACTGATGGAGCTCTGGCTTGGTTGAGGCATAGCCATGTCCTAGGGCTCACCTGCAGTCACGGTGACAGCACCAAGCAGTGCCTCCTTGTACTTGCGCAGGCTCTCATCATCCTTGTCCAGCTCCTGGATCTCCTGGATGCTCTTCTGGGCAGGTGGCTTATAGTTGACGGAGTGTTCGTCTTCCTCATTTTCAGCTGCAATCTGGGCCAGCTGCTCTGCTGTCGGCTCCTGCTCTGCCATCCTTACACACACGAGTTACACTGAAGTGGGGAGGAGAAGTGTAACTGCATCTACCTACTCCACCAGCATGGCTCCTGCACAGCACCGCAGCCCATCAGCACCAACCAGGCTTCCCCAGAACTGCTCCGCCATGACTCCACAGGCTCCCTCTCTCACGTGGGCCCCTCACAGGCTGTCCTCAGGAGTCTTCAGGGGACACAACCCTGCCAAGGGTGCAGAGCCCACAGACCCTGCAGACCCCTCCATAGGCCAGGTCTCATACTCAGCCCATGGAGGCCCACGCAAGAAAGGAAAAATTGAACCTCAGTGCTTTACTCATAAGCTGGAACAGGTAAATATCCAAAGCCGTAGAGAAAATGCTCTCTTCCACAAGATCAGCCGGGTGAGGCTTTCGCTCATAATAAACCTGAGCCCAGAATAAACCCAGTTCAGTTCTGCTCTCTACAACACACGATTCCAGCTAAGAATAGGCCTCTGCCTCACCACTGGCACAAATGCCAGGAGCCTCTGCTGCAATCTAGATCTCACAGTTTGTAACTCAATCAAGATCAATCTGCTCTGCGCCGGGTGCTGGGTGCCTCAGAGGAGTGGAAGAAGACACCTGGCTCAGCTGATGTCATGCTCAGTCCTTTTCAAAAATCTGTGTCACACACGGCCAGTGAAACAGATAATGGATTAAAAACATGTGCAGAGTTTGGCTTGGCTGGCCAAGACTCTAACCAGGAAACACCCAGCTGCACACTGAAGGCTGGTGAAAGGTGATGCCAACACCCCATTAAAAACCTCAGTTAAAGCCCATGACATCCTCAGCAATTCCTGATGTTCCACGGAGTGTGCTGTCCTAAGGGTCATCTGACAGCAAATATCAACTTGGACTCTCCAAAGACTCGAAAAACTCTTTCAGTGACAGCTTTTGAAAGGCTTTTTGTACAAGCAAAATCTTTCGCAAATGAACTGCTGGTGGATCCAAGTGTTTCTGTCATTATCTGGCACTCCCGCATTCAGTATTCCCGCCTGGAGCTCTGTGCTAGCATGCACAACTCGCAGCAGACTGCGGAACTGCATTCACTGCTCTGGGATCTAGTTTCCAAATAAATCAAGAACTACTACATTTGCTACAAGTACAACAAACACACACAATGTACTTAAATACAGGCTTAATTATGATCTACAAGCACCTAAAGCTTCTCATACAGGTTATGCTAAATAAGCTAACCATCATCCATTCTTTTCGTCTTCGAGCTAGCTGATGTAATAGCACACAGTTCAGTTATTCCATTTCTACCCAACGTGCCACCCAGAGGGGGAAAGAAAGACCTCAGCGCTGACACTAACCACACATGGTTTATAGAGCACATTTTATAGTGACACAAGGCAAGTTCTGCAGATGCTGGAGCCAGTCTGACTCCACATCCAGTTCGAGCTTGGCAAGGGTGTAACAGCAGAACAGCAGAGGTACCAGCTGGGCTCCACTAATATTTTTAGCCATAAATATTATGAATGTTTTATTGGGGAACAGGGCAAAGGAGACAGATTAGACACACAAAATGAAATTTTGCACATCTCCACCAGAAAAGAAGACTACAGCAGACCTATCAGGAAATGCACAGAGGAGAGAGAAAAGTAAGGGGGAAGGAGAACCACTGACCAGCCCACCTGCTGCCAGGACTCTCGGGTGAGGCGCTGGCCCCAGCTCCCAGGGAACCGGTGCTGAGGTGGAGCTGCAGCCAGGCCCCCGGTGGGGACCCACTCCTGGCCCACTGTCAAACCTGGGAACAGACGTGCTGGCTTGTCCTGGGCTGGCAGCGCTTCCCTGGAGAGGCTGGCACAGCTCTCAGGGTGTCCTGGGGGTAGGGTACTTGCAATGGATGCAACTGGTGTTTCTGGGTATTAAAGCTTGACTAAGATTTATCACCAGACAAAGGTGGGAGGATGATGTGATACTTTGGGGTTATTACAAGGGCTTTGGCCCTGCGTGGCACAAGTGTGTCTGCGTAGGGGAGTTTGTCCCATTGTACCTTCGCACTTACTACTCCCAACAACTGCCGGTACTGACCCCTACACTTTACAACAAACAGCTGGCCCTTCTGCATGGTATCCTCCAATATCCTGGCACTGAATGTCGTGAAAATTTGTATTCAAAAGGCCATTTAATCTCATGTCATACATGAACAACTGACTAGATCTCACCCTGGTATCTCTGTATCAAACCCAGTCACTTCCTTTGTGCTCCTGACCAAAAAAACCTCCAGCCTTGCAGACTCTCAGAAGTGTTGAGCAAACACTCACTCAAGCATCCGTTCTACTGCTTGATCCCCTTACTGCAGTCCTCTGCCTCGCCTCCGGGCTACATTTCACCTCCCAGGCACTACAGGTCATTCTCTCTCCCTATGCTGAAGAACTCCTGGACCTCTCTCCTAAGACGCCTGTAGCTTTCAGGAAATGGAAGTGACGGACTTCCAGTGAGAGCTTTAAAGAACTAAAGTCCCCAGTCACTGACTTCTGTTGACTCCCAAATTCCCTGTGATTGAGTCCTCTTTGAAAGCCTGAATATAACAAACAGATACCCATGTGGCAGACAATCCACCAGTATCCATCCACGTGCACATCCCCGATGGTGCCAGGTCCCTTTGCACGGCATTAGCGTCCAAAGGTGTATACCACCTTCCAATTTTCAGACCAAGCAGAGACAAAACTTCTAACAAATGGCCTCATCAGCACCTGCAAGTGACAGGCCACAGGAGCTGTAGCACAGCCTCTCCTCAAGCAAACAAAGCTCGCCGAACCCAGCACTGTGCATGCAGTGAAGGATCAGCCAACCACAGCACAGTTCCAGACAGCAGGGTCAGGTCTGGAAGATCGCTGCACTCCACACAGGAACAGCCTTAGCGTTAAACAGTACTGATTTCTAGCAGCTGAAATAGCAGCTGATTTCCAGGATCAGGTATCCTATCCTGATCAGTTAAGAAATGCATTAGTTTGGTCTCACCCACGTATAGAGCCATCGATAACCAACCTCTAGATGTAACAGACAGGGCAACAGTTTCCTCCCACACATCAACAGCGCTCAATCTTCATCAACTCTGTCAGGGTAACCCTTCCCACAAACAGATATTTAGCAACAACCATGCTGTAGAAGGCACGGAAGAAAAAAAAAACAAAATGAAAAAGCAAATCCCCAGGTCTTCGGTTGTGTTCCTATGCCTCTAGTCTTAATCCTGTGATCCAGGGCTAAAGAAACAACCATGCACACCACCACACGGATTAATCAAGAACCACCCCAGTCCTCACAGGATCTCTAAAACAACAGAAGCCCACCAGACACCAAAAACGGCTCCTCAGACCAACACAAAGCACTACTCCAACCAGCAGCTCAGGCCAGGCCAGGGTTCAGCTCTCTGAGGAAGCCCTGGAGAAATATCACTTCCTCTCTTCCAACAGGCTTCCCCAGGAGCAGCAGTCAGAAGAACATCTCTGACCAGGCTGCACCAAAGCCACTGCTGCAGCGCTCCCGAGAGGAGCGGGCTCCTGCACCCCAGCCAGATGCAAGGGTTGAGACACTCTGCGACAGAGCTGGCAGGGGCCAGGCTGTGGCCGGCAGGCCGCCCCCTTCCGCACAGAGCACTGCATTTCATCACCATAGGTCACAGCGCCTTGGCTACTTCTCCAACATGCAGCCAGAGAGGAAGGAGACTCCTCATGGCATCAAAACTTTTATGAGGGCCTCAACCTCACCCTTCAGACTTCTTGGACAAAGCATTTATTACAGCTCAGGATTAGTAAACCAGAGCTTTTTTAGGCATGTGAAAGACCAGCCATGACATTGCCAGACAAAGTGAAGCCAAGGGACTTGATTGCATGTGAACTGCCAGGAGAGAACTGCACTTGTGTATCCCATCTATGCCATGCCAAGACCTGCAGCAAGCACACACCAATACACAGAGAAGGGACCTGCAAGACAGTCCTTCAAAGGGCTCAGCTCCTTAATGAAAGCCTTCCCGCTACACTGCTGACCTGCAGCTGAGCGCAGCTGCCTTGCAGGAGCTCAAGACCTCAAACCTCAGGCATTGCTCTGAGATGTTTGGAAGGAAATTCTTCTTCAGCTCCTTTTGACACTCAGGAGGTGCTCGGGTGTCCTGCTCAGCACCTCCGAACAGTGGCTCTCTGGCTCTTAAGACTCAGCCGAGTTGCAGAACACTAGACCTAGTGTTTCTGCGGCTTCTGAGAGGCCTGCTGCTCTACAAAAGGCACAGACCCACTGTCAGCTCTGCCATGGCTGGCAGGGAAGGGGACTCCCAGCCCTCACAAGCAAATTACAGGAGGTGGGCTCCTCAGACGTGGAGAGACATCTAGGGAAGCAGCCCTGGGTGCTTCTCAGATCCTTGCAGGTCACAGAAGCCTGCAGAAGACAGCAGCAGGCTGAATCGCTTCCCACCTGGGAATTTGCACTCAGCTGCCATCATTGCTTCCTCAAATCAGCAGCTTCTCCTGGATTCTCAGCATTTTTCGCTCAGGACCGAGGAGCTAGCAGCAGCGAATGCAAGAGCTCCACCTTCTGCCAGACAGAAAAACTGCTAGGAACATGACCCTATTTGTTTTCAGGCAGACAGCGGTAAACAGCAACTTCTTCATACCCCGGGGTCAAGATCCCACGGCACTAGCAAAACCAGAGTTAGCCAGAGGTAACTATGATGAGCTAATTGGCTTCAGACGTCCATTAGACCACAGCGCAGCCGTGGACACACAGCAGTGCCAATTCGAGCGGTCCCCACCCTTCCTTCTTCCCTCGTGGCGCAAGGGAAGGCTTGTGCAGCCACAGGGCAAACTCGGTTGGAATTTGATCCAGTTAATAACCGTTTCTGCAGGGCTATTTTCCAGCCAGATCAGTTCACTGATCCGGTTCACTATGCAGCTACAAACACTGCTACACTGTAAGAACAGGGAGCCAGAACTGCTTAAACCGGCTCAAGCTGTGCTGCTGCTCTGCACGTACAATGGCAGCTCAGGAGGCTGAATCAGAAATAAACGGGGCTCAGACAGTTCCCAGGGCAGCAGCAGGGGAGCGGGTGGGCACATCACCAGCAAAGGAGGAACTGGTGACTCACTGACACTTCCGGAGGCCGAGTGCTGCCCTCTGACACCACTCGGTAATTCGGAGGCAAGGGGACATCCAGATAATGATAATGCCACTGCACTGGTTGCTTTGTAAGAGCGTCCCAGAGAACTCTCGTCTCGCCTGATCCCTGCCACTGGCTTACAGCTCTGGGGATGAAGGACTCTGGAAACAGTCCGCTGCCTTTCAGGGACTCAGCAGTTTGGAGATGTGGGATTTTTTTTTTTTTTTTGCTTGTGACATAACCCTGGCCTGCAGTTCACCTACAAGGCATTAACTGTCAACAGCAAAACCAAAGGCATGAGCAGACAGTTCCATACACTCACAACTTCAGAAGTTTAAAAAACTCTCGCAGTCCTACACCCAGGATACAAACAAGTTATGTGGGTAAACGGGCTGCAGCCTGGCTGCAACCGCCATCTGTGTGGTGACCCCGGCGCTGCAGCTGCGGACACCCCCAAGAGCACGACCCATCCGTACGCATCGCCACTCGTCCCCACAGTGGAACACTACAATGAAACCGCCTCTGCTCAGCAGTTACGGGAGAAGAATACCCGCGCTGGAAGAATGCTTGGACAACGAGAGCAGCAGCAAAGCACTCTGGACTAGAGCCGAAACCCTCAAGGCAGCAACGTAGTCACTTCACGTGACTACGAGTTCTTATCGGCTTAAGAAAAGGAAGTTAGGACTTTCAGACTTGTTGCAAAGAGCTGTGGAGCCAGGGAAGACATCGCCATCCTTCCGGCATGGCTGTAAAGGAAGGAGGAGAACCGATACCATAGCCTGCAGGAGCCAAGCTGCAGCCTTTATGCACGTTGCCCCTGCTTCTGTAATGTGCACCCTGCCGACAGCATTAAGGGGGATAAGACAGGCTCTTTAATTACTCTAACACGGAAGGAAATCCACTCTGAGGAAGCTGCTTCCAAGTTCCTCGTTTCGTAACTAGGAACCATTTATGGAAAATCTGTTTGAGACAAACGAGAGCACTTGCAGCCCCAAGCGCCCTGGGAGGCCAAAAGGACCCAGCGTTCCTTTCACCGCGGCCCAGGCAACAAGAGAAACCTGAGGGGAGGGCTCGGAGCAGCCCCGGCTCCTCCGGGGAGCACGAGCCGACCCGAACCGCCCGTGTTTCGCCCTAACCGCGGGCCTCGGTGCCGCGAGAGCTCCGCTCCGCTCCGGGACGGCGCCAGCCGGGGACGGCGGCTTCCCCCGGGCCCTCAGCGGGCCGTGCGAGGGCACTCGGGGCCCACGCTCCCATACCTCGGCCGCGCCCCGGAGCC